GCACTTTGATGGCCTCCATGGCCTCATCAATCCGCTCTTGTTCAGATTGTTCACAGAAAAAGCCTTGGGAGTCTTCCCCAGCAATGCGTCAGCCTCTGGATCAACTTCATCCGCGACGCATGCTGTTGCTCCCTTGGACTTATCACGTTTGATGATGTCACTGTCGGACTATTGTTCACGCAGCGCCTTCCCCGCTGACCATGTAGAGAACTCACCTTTGATGGCTGCGAGGCTGTTGGATTTCTCGTTTGGCTCAAGACCACTGCGATGCAACAGTAGGAGCCCAGCCAAAAACTCCGGAATAAAAATCTCTTCGGTCATTTTTCATGTTTCCGGTGGTTCATAGTCACCTGAATACCATGACCTGGTGGCCCACTTGTCATGATACTCGGACCAACTCTGGTGTGGCCCATGTTGCGACCATGCCGCCTCAAGCCCTCCGTCCTCGTCGTCCTCAGCGAGTCGACCATCATCACGAAAAGGTTGGCCTCGCTCTGACGAAGGTGTTGAGGCAGGACGTTGCCACTGGCTCCATGGATCCTCAACTGCAGCAGGCCGAGTCAGAGTCGAACCTTTGGGTTTTCCCGTTCACGCTCCTTCTGCGCGCGATGAAGTGCAGAGGAGGCTTCCCAAAGCGACTCGGCGTGGCATCGTTCCACCTTCTGTCGGCTCATGTTGTAGAAAACCTTCATGACATGCCGACTTGCCTCGACCAAACTGGGACGTCCCAGTTGTTTCTCCAAGAACTCCAGCAGCGTGTATACGCCCCTAGGATGTGAAAGCCACTGTGGGTCCCTGAGTGAAGGCGGCCTGGTGATCGCTTTTGCAACTCCAGACAGGCTTTGCAGCAACCGTGGACCACATAGATATCTTTTATGGTATTCCACCCCCATAGCATATTGCACTGCTCTCTCTTTGTAGATAGGCAACAACTCTGGCGACCCATCAAACTTCGGAATCTTGTCCTCCACGTCACCTGCAACCTCGTCGTTTCCAGTTACTCCCAAAGACCTGGATCTTCTCTTCTTCAATCAACAACTTCAAACACCAGCAGCTCTCTAGCGTATGGTGTAGGTAACCAGACGATTAGGCTACCATGTGATTGGCCATTGCGCACCTTTTTGGGACAAGCCCAGGGGCGTCTTGATCTATCGAAACATGGCGGATGGACTTGGCATTCAAATTCGCATATATATATATATATTATATTATACATTATACATTTGCATTATATTATATATATATATGTTTGTAGGGCATGTCATTTCTCGCCAAGGCGCCCAAAAGGAACCACAATTGAGGAGCTGAGCTCTGGCCACGTTACCGCTCGCTGTAAAAGGCTTATGCAGGCGCTCAAGAATGGCCTGCAGCACCTGTCAACGCATCTGGAGGAGTTTGGCAAATGTGCATCTTGGGACTTGGGACAAACAACACCACGCTGTGGATTTGCTTAGGTCGCGATAAATTTCAAGAAAGAAGACTATGAGATTGTATCAGATGTGTAGCAGAAACTGTTCTCTAATTGCTCCAAGGGTGCACCAAGCACACAGCTCTCTGGCAAAATCTCCCATCACCTCCCATTCCTTCAAAGTACGTTTGCACCGCATTGGTCATACTTTTCAACCTTTTCATCCACATTTAGCACCGCTCGCTCGCCTCCAAGGGTTCCATGTGCATGGGCAAAGAGCGCAGGACAAGGCTCCGCTTTAAGCCTCTGCAATTCTAGTCTAACTATATTTCTATATATTTCTTGTTTCTAATAGCGAACATTGTTCTTAGTAGTACGGCCAGGAGCCCCTAGTAGCGTCCTTGCTCCTAGTAGCGATGCCAGGAGCCCCTAGTAGCTTCTTGTCCTAGTAGCTTCTTGTTTCAAACAACAACATGCAAACATCACGCATCATGTCTTTAAAACTCTGCGTGGTTTGAAAGTCTCGGTCATCTGATCCGAATCTTTGTCAAGCAACGTACATCCTGCGGATAGCATGGACGACCGACTGGTCTAGAACTCCACTTCGTCCTGGGTGCAAGGCTGCAAGGCCAAGCCACTGCCACTGAACCAAATTAGAATGCTCAGGAAAATCTTAAATCACTGTAGCGCTGAGCTAGAAGATGTTGGTGTACCGATTTATCGGTTGCAAATTTTGCCAATTTCTGGGAGCTCGTATGGTATGCTGGGGCACACTGCTCTCGAGTTGCTGAATATGCAGTTTCTGGGGTTCCAGCAGCTTTATTGGCAAAACCTCCAGGGAAACTACGAAAGGACGGGAATCCAAGTGTGCAGCTGCCAATTGTGAATGAGACCAAACCTACTAAAACCACTTGACTGTTTCAACGTCCATTTAGAACTTTCCAGCGGATTGCAGCACGAAGGCAAAGAGATGAAGCATCCACTTCACCCCAATTACAAACAAACAAAACCCAAGTTCGAAGCAAAACCCCCTAAGGGCTCAAATCGCGATGAGGTTCTTTAATAGATGTGCCGGCGCGGTTGTGTACTTAGAGCCGGTTGGGCCAACAAGTGTCCCAATCGCAGCGTATGGTCACTAGTCACTAGTGTGAGGTTGCCTTGTATGCACAAGTTTCCACACAAACTATATATATAAAGTAATCCATTAACCTTCAAACGATTCAAGGCACTAGCACTACCCGCAATGTTTTGATGCAAGTTCTGTGCTGTACGGTAACCAGCTTCTCGGATACATACATACTCATCCTGTCACTTTTCCATGGCCAAACCATGCAACTACCGCATCGGATATCATCATCAGGTTCTACTGGCGTTCTTGACCGGGCCTCTTTGAAGAGTATGCCACTCAACCGTGGCCTGACAGTGCTCATGATTGCTCATGATCGAAAAATATCTATCTAAAAAGAGAAGTGCATCGATCACATCAACAGCAGGTTTGGCGGCTCAGAAGAGGAGAAAAGAAAGAGAGAGCAAGAAAAAAAGAAAGAAAGAAAGCACACATCACAAACTGCAGCAGAGTGTCTGTGCCTTTTGCGTCTTGAGTAGAAGCGTTGGTATGTGCCAGTCTAGCATGTCACGGTGCAATTCAATCCACTTAAACTCCTTCGGGACTTCGTCACCCGTTTTAAGAAACTTCAAAAAACGGGGACATGAGTGCGAACTCGTTGGGGAATTCCAAAATTTATGGACTGAACGAATAAAGAAAGAGAGAGAGAGAAAGAAAGAAAGAAAGAAAGAAAGAGCAACTACTTCAAGGGAAACCTTTTCAAGTTTGATGTCACCAAGTCGCAGCTTTCTTGTGGCTCTTTGCCGCGATGCCGCGTCGCTGAATTCAACGAAGGCATACGACCTGGCATCATGTACCAACAAAATCCGAACCCGGCATACCCAGAACAAAGCACTGAATCGTTGTAAAGGGAACAAACAATGCCCACAGGATCCGGTGTAAGCTTTACACCACTGGGTCCCAGCAGCCAGCCAGCCAAGCACTGTTCGTTGCTCTGAGCTCTTGACATTGTATACTTCGGAGGCGCCATCGGAAGCTCTAGGCCGTCCTGCAAACGATTTAACGATGAAGGCAAAAAGTATAAGGTGGGCTTCCCTAGGATTTGAAGGAGAAATGGACAGATATGCTAAAAAAATTAAAGAAAGAAAAAGAAAGACCTACGGTCGAAATTACTTTGGAGTAACGTGGCTGCGCTTCTAGTTGTAATTCTTTGATATCATCTGTGACGCTTGTTACCCAAAGCAAGGGAACCCGCTGGGTCTTGTGGGTTCTTGCAAAGGATTACGCTCAAGTTCTGTCCTTGGTCTTGATCGTCTCCGGTCTATCCCTTGACACAAAGCAAATGTTGAACAAACATGAAGTGAAGCTAAAGCACCCCTATCTTTCATTGAGAGACAGCAATGTGTGCTGCTGTTGCTCAAAATCTATGGCTCCTTTGGTCCTCAACATATTCAGCTTAATGATGTGCCAAAAGCTGACCTCCAGGTGTCTTCCATCGCTTTCCACTCATTGCCTCAGTAAAGGTGATACCATAAACATCACGCATGAGCTGCTGAAACTACTGTGCCAAAACCCTAATGGTCGGCCCTGTAGACTTCCAAACCCCACAAGCCCAGCCCAACATAAATTTCATTCTACAGATTTCTGCTGGCTAGAAGCCGGCTGGAGGATGTGCCGAAGACACTGCTTAGATCAACTTTCCAAGTTGATGCTTCCACTTTTGTATTCCACATGTCTTTGCCAGGCAGCAAATGTCCACTTTGACAATGTCGCCACAATTGCACAAAGACGCCCTGAGCGTCTCCTCCTCAGCCAAAGCTGTTCGGCTCCGAGGCGAAAAGTATAAACGGACGCGATGCAGTAAGTAGTAACAGGAAGCTATTAGTAACAGGTGCATCACTAGTAGTAACAGGTGCCTTACTACTAACAAGAAGCTAGTAGTAACAAGTGCCTTACTAGTAGTAACAATAAGTACTACAGTCGTGCAGTCAGTATTCTTTCAGCATGTCAGCCCTCACAGCTCCTTCACATCATTGGGTATGTTGCTCAGGAGGATGCTTTTGGTCAGGGACGGCACGTGGCAACTCCTGTCAAGAGAACGGTGCAGGTGGTGCCCATCATACTTGTACAGTTGGACAGTTTAGAGAAGTGTGTAAAATAAGCTCATAGGCTTCGTTTGGTTCATATGAACTGGCCCTTGCATGCAGCAGCAACAGCAACAGGAACAGTAACGTAGCGGCAACAAGCCCGACAACAAACCGAAACAGCGATAGCACTTTCAACAGGCAGTAAGTTCACTAGGCAGCAAACAGCAGAGTGCTCGGCAAGCATCTGAAGTGTCGCCTGGGTGGTTCATCCCAAGGCACTTTTGCCACCTGCAACACAGCATGATGATACACCAAATGACAAAGAGCTGATTGTCTGATCCCATAAAGGAACAAGTGATATCTTGGAAGCTACCTTTAATCTGTTAGTGTACATGGCACAGCCATGCACAGCCCATAGGATCTAGGCAATCTTTCTCCAATCACATACGTTGCAAATTCCACCGCCAAGCGTCCTAGGCGATCGCAACCTACGTGAAACTGAAGGTGAGGAGGTTAGACACCGTCTTGCAACGTCGTAACTGGTCATGGATAGCCTTACTGTCAAACAAGACTGCTTCAGGGCTTCAAATCTTTGTGGTGCTATTTGTTGGCGTGAAACCCAGCTCCAGCATGACAGACCCAAACATCTTAAGTGGCGATTCTCTTCGATTGCCCAAGTGGAGTCCTGTATCCATCTATGACATTGTCTCACCTTGCTTGGGAGCCCATTGGCTATCTCATTTGGCTAGATTCGGTTGTGCCATCCTTGCTTGGCAAGCTGCACACATCAAGCCACACTCACTTGATATACTGCTGGTACACATTCTGAAGAGACACATCCCTTTCGATCTGCTCTCGGTACCTTGGATTGCTACTGGATTCTGGACTCTGCACTGCATATGAATCTGTGCTTCATCCCTCTAATGTTATCGATTGCCCCTAGCTAGTATGAACTCTGCTGTAGTGCAAAAGACTTAACACAAAATACAATCCCCGACCACTGGTCCAAACAAATGGTCAAGCTGGTCAAGCTGCTTATGGATGAAGGAGGCAATACTGTCCACGATAGCGTGTTGAGCCTCCACCCGATTCTGGCAGTCAGCTTGATGGTCGGCACGAATGTCCTTTGTGAGCTCCCGCACCTGGCAGGATTCAATCAAAGCAAACACTTGTTGTGGAGCAGGCGGCCGCACTTATCAAAAAAACAGGACGTCACTTTGAGGATACTTGCATGATCAAAACATGGGACAACAATTGGTGAACTTCTCTTGGGAATTGCATGGAAATGGGTCTTATCACATTGTTCCTCCAAATCACATCCCCAACGTAATGAGAGCTGGCCTCCTTTTCCAGTTGGTATTGGCTCTTGGCCACCTGCTGTTGTGAGGCATCGGCCCAGCGCTCATAGCCTGAATCGCAGGTTTGACCATCCAGGTGTTGTCATGCGTCTGTGTCTCCGATCTCTGGGGCGGAGGCACCGGGCCCAGAGTTAAGTAGTGATTACTTAGATAGCTGAGTCTGAAAATGCCCAGCGTAGACCGGCATCCACGAAAGAACAACAACTGCACGTTGCAGGCACAGTGAGACAAGCAAGAAGCAAAAGTGAATGGCTAATAATGTGATTTGTTAGATGTCAAGGTGGGAACCTTGGATTGCACGCACATGAATCAGAGCGAAAGAGCTAGAGAGACACCAGCGGGCAACATGCATGTGTAGCAGGGGCGTACAGCACCACCACCTCCTGTGTGGAGAACCATACACCCAAAGGCAAAGATCAATCCAAAGAAAAACCAGGAGGTCGAATGGTTCCTGGCATGGAGCACCGGCAGCTATGGCCAAAGTGCAATCCTCATTTTAGGATGACAAGCGGTGATGCCAGGCAAGCTTCCTTGGCATTGTCAGCACCGTCAGTTTGGATCCAAACCTTTCGCAATGTTTCTGCCTCCCCACCTCCCCATCTTTGGAGGAGGCCTCTTCGCTAGGAGGATCGCTTTAGCAAACGTCCCCGGTTAAGCATGGACCATCTGCCACGCTGGTTTCTCTGTTCGAAAGTCTCTGCGAAAGTCCCTGCAAAAGTCTCTGCAAAAGTCTCTGCGAAAGTCTCCGCAAAAGTGGTGGGAGCTTTCAAACAAATTAACTACCAATTGCTACTTGGCTTGGTGCCTCCCACGGAGAGGCCTGTTCCGCAAAAAAACTACTATCAACCATCTCAAGCATCTGCCCCTAAGTTGTTGCCAAAGTAAAAAGAAAAGCGGCCAAAACGCAAAAAGTTCGTTAAGAAATACTCCCTAAAGCCTAAAGTCAAATTGTAAGGAAAAAACAACAATGGGTTCAAAAGCCAATTTGGCATGGCTCTCAGAACTGGTTGAAATTGAGAGGCTCATGAGCTGCTGCTCCCTGTCGAATTTCTCCTCATCCAGCAATGCATTGAAAGCATGCACCTCATCTTGGAGAAGCTTCTCCTTAGTGCCACCACACAACGTTCGGAGTGCAATACAACTAAGCAGCATGTTCAGAAAAAGCAAGCTTATATATACTACTGTCTAATGACTTAGGCCAACGTGATGCAAGTGACATACCAATCTGGCTACCCCCAGGGCTAAGTCATGTGCCCTGACATATCGAGCTAAAAAAAAAGGTCTGGGTGGGAAACCTGGTGTCATGGGACCTGTGGACACCTCCTAAAAACAGCTAAATAATGCTAGATACCACTGCCTGGCACCCTGGTGACACAGTGGTGACATAGGGTGCGACTATGTGTTTTTGCGGGCGCTGCTTCCTTGAATACCTCATACATATTTCTATGAATATCATGGTTGTGGCCTGATGACATAGGCCTTAAGAGGAAATGCCAATGTTGGATCAATCCTGATGACATAGGCTTTTGGAATTGGCGTGTATGTCCGACAAGTCCTAAGTTACTAGTCAGTAGTATACCTCTTTTCCTCTATACTCTAGTTGTGATCTGTACCTTTGGTTCCGTTTGCATCAGCCCCAGTTGTCTCAATTCAACAAGCAACCCAATCACAAGTGAACTTCACTTGTCATGGACAATTCATCGTGGAGTGACAAGGCACTCGCTGCTGGTCCTGCAACTGCCGCTTCTGCGTCTCAATGGCCAAAGCGTCAGAGAGTCGCTGCGACTCATCACGGATGGGGCCCAGCGTGGCCTCCAAAACATTCATAGCAATGGCCTCCAACCTAAGAGCAATGGCCTCCAACCTAAGAGCAATGGCCTCCAACCTAAGAGCGATGGCCTCCAACCTAAGAGCGACGGCCTCCAACCTGAGAGCAATAGACTTCAGTGACTTTTGTGACTTCGAACCAATCTGTAGTGCCTTGAGCAAAACCCCTTCGCTCAAAAAATTGAGGCAAAACTGACCGAGGGGCAAAAGATTGAAAACCAAAAACAGAACCTAAGTCTTATTCTGTCTCAACAAGCCACAAGCACCTCCCCACCAAACAATCAAGCCTCGATGTGCCTTATCCGATCCTCTCTCTGCTGCACCAAAGCATCCTTCAGTTTTGACCGGCTGGCACAATGCTTCGGTTCCCATTTGACAAAGCACATCATTGCAACACTGACATTGCATGGGTATGGGTTTCTTGCGGACAATTTTTGAAACCTACGTCAGGGTTTGCCGATAACACAAGTTGCTAGATGCGTTTGAATGGACAGTCTATAATCCATATAGCTAGAGCCGCATCCTTCCAGCTCTTTCGGAAATAGCAACTTTTGCAGCAACAGAATCAAGCAACCATTGTGCAGCATGGTTCAAAACAATATATTCCAGGTAGATCAGACCTTCTTCTTCCGCGCCTCTGCAAAGGTCATGCGTTCGTTCAGCTCATCAACGGCCTGAGCTTGCTACTAGTCTTGCGAGTCTTTGGGCAGTGGATGAACAACATTGATAACAATGTTTTAATATGTTCGACAAATGCGGCAACTGTCCTGCTGTTTGATGAAGCTTTTCTATTGGAACCCCTCGATCTGCCATGGCACCGCATTCATGCTGGCAAAGGCCTCGCGCAAATCTCGGCGAATGCCTTGATCAGCTCCTGAAAGCTCATGCTGAAATTTGGCCTGGGAAAAGTGAAGAGCGGTTTGGAATCGCTGGGCCAAGTGAAGAAAAAAACAGCGCCAAAGCAGTTAGCCAAGCACGTATGTTTGGGGTTCATGTCACCCTTTCTGGCAGCTGTAAATTTGCTCTACGGCTACAGAATCAACTTGGAGGCTCGCTCTCGCTCTTCCGATAACATTAGAATCACTCTCGATTGTTTTCAAAATCATCATCTTTGGCAATGGCCCATCTCTGTCCCCTGCAACAGGATGACAATGCTGGAAAGGTTGGAGTGGCTTCGCCAAGCGGCAGTGTAGGACTTGGTGGTGTCCATGACATGTTTCTTTTTTTGCCTCTCAAAGCAAAACCAACAAACAATTGGGTCGCATCAAAACCATCTTGCCGGCTACTGTATGGACAGTCATAACCTCCAAACACCAACCACGACACCCTGTCCTCAGCATGTTTTATGTGCTACCTTGCTTTGCGTGCATTACTGAGTCAGAAGACATGGGTTGCAAAAGTTCAAACACATGCGACCTGGAACTGGAATATCGTGCATAGGATGCTACGCAGAAGAGCAAGCAACGGACTTAGGGCATGAACTGCCGAGTTGCTGCATGTGAGCCCGGCATTTCTTGATTTGGCGCAATGTCTCTTCAAGCATTTCATTGAGCCGCTTTTGATGAGCATCGCGGTTCTTCTGCGCCTGCAAATCGTTTCAGCTGCAGAACCAGATTGGGCATGAACAGCGTTAAACCTCAACAAGTCAATTAGCTCCATCAATCCCGTTCGTCCACAAAAAGCGCAACTTCCTGCCTGCTCAAAAACTGAAGGCGTGCGGTTCACCTCCTCGGTGAGGTAGAAGAGCAGCCTTTCCTGTGAGCAGAAATGAACTTAGTTCTTCGCCAAACACCCCTGACTGAAAATACATCTTCCCGGCTATATATAAAGCAAAACCCTGTCAGCATGGACCAAAGCACTGTGTAGATTGCCAACTCTATTCAGCCTCGGCTGCGCATAAGTACGGCCATTCTTTTACATCCAGGCAGTGTTGGTACCAGACGCGAATGCAGTGTGCAAATCCTGCTTTGCAGGAAATTGGACATGCGGAGTGACCTGGCAGCACATGCACATTTCCTTACGCACGTGAGGCCGTGAAGCAAACTCAGGTCGGTCCAAAGTAGTTCAACGTTTCTTTTATTCTGCAGAGACTTTAGACCTGCCGTTGGACCAGAAAACTCCACAGGTCTAACAATGACAACAGCAACAAGGGGAGCAATCGCCACAAAGAATCGAGCAGCAATTGCTCATCGCGCTACCGACAGAGATCGGTTTCTCCGCTTCATTCATTTTGGCCGGGGGGTTGTACACTTAGAGGCGGTGTCACCATTGAGTTTGGACAGGTCAAGGACATACCTCAGGGCTTCATCATTGCTTCGCTCAAGGATCTCAAAAATGTTGTTCAGCTCGTGCGCAGGCATGATCTTGAGTTGGGGAAGAATCTTTGGCCCTGCCTTGTCAATGTGATCAACTCCTCCGCGTTTGTGATACCACCCGCGAAGGAAAAGGTCACTCGAGATCTTTGTCCGAGGACAGCCGGCTAGAAATGCTCCTGTCAATTGTGGGCAAAGCCCCAAAATTATGAGCCTGCTTTGTGAATCCTTGAGCATCTTCTTGTATGGTGTCAAGTCGTGGTCGGAAGGAACTGCGTCAAGGATGATATCCAAGGAATTGGCAGCGCCGGCAAGATCGGCACTTTCAGAAGTTGCGACACACGCAGATGCTCCAGCTTCCCCGGCTATGTTCTCTTTGGCCTTGGACCGAGAAATGGCCGTGACTTTGCAGCCCATTTCCTTGGCAAGCTTGATGCACCCGGGCCTGCACCATGCTCTTTCTTTCAAAGGAGTGTATGTTGTAATACCTGCGCACATTACAGGCCCTGCAGCTGCCAATCTTGATGCCAAAGTGCTCAAAAATCACGCTTTTCGTACTATAACCGCCAATCAAAGGACTCTTTTCAGCTTTCCCGGGTTTACCGGGTACTTCTCTGGTTGGAGGATGAGTAGCTGCACGACCTGACCAGTCTTCGCCTGCATACGTGGCAACGACTTTCTTGCACTTTTGTTCGTCACCACACTTGCAGTGTTTGCCAGTTAGGCACGAGTCGATCGCTGTTCCGATTACAATCTGGTCACAAAATTGAAATTTTGTGACCTTGGAACCTACTTGTTCCACAACTCCTGCCAGCTCCTGTCCTGGGACAGCAGAATACTTAGGCTTCATCACTGTGTTGGCCTTTCCATTTGTAGACAATATCAGTGTGGCACACCCCACAATATTTGATGTCAACAAGCACACCAAAGTCAGTGGCCTTCGATACATTTCCATGGGCTTGAAGTCGCACTTTTCATCCTCAGTGCCCATGGCCAGGCGCCTGGCTACTCTGATCAGCCATGGTGATTGAGCAACTAGACAGGATCAACGCCTACAGGCGACTTGAGCCACTATTTCGCACAAATCGAACCGGGCGTCTTCATTCGGTGCACCTGATGCAAACTTATCCTAAACAGAAAAGTTCTCCTGGTTGTTCTTGAAGACACGGTTGCGCCGGTGTAGATCTCCAGACCTCAGCATGTTGCTTTTCTCAAATGAGTGAGTGGGCGTCCTACACCCACGAGTCTACACGCCTTGCACGCTTGTCCTATATGCTGTGGCCAACCCTGAATTCAGATGTGTAATCGCTGCTTGGGTGTGATCAAAGTCCAGTGACAGCCATGAGAAGTCCTCTGAAACTGCCATGGCGGCAGAGGTGTTTCAGAGGCAGGGGACAAGAGCCACAAGGGCTTCGCGCGGGCATCAAGCAAATCTGGTCAGTATTCGGACGAGCTTGTGCTACAACTTGCATGGACGTACTGTACTGTACCTGATTTGCCCGGCGCTGCCTGGTTTTTTGAGGCACTGATGTGGGGCTCAGCTCAGCAGCTGCATCGGGATTTGTGTACTGTATACTGGTATGTCAGTCCCACAATCCTAACTTGCAAAGAGAAAACACAAGTGTAAACAGACTACTGAAGCGAAAGCTTGAATTTCTACCAAAGCTGCATGTGCTCCCCATCCCCTGCCTCAGCGTCCAGGACCCATTTCTCGTGCAACGGGCGCACCTGTGGAAATGAGACTTCAAATCTTAGGGGAACATATAACAATTGAGACTTTTCGATTGAAAATGCCGGATCAATTGCATGGCAGAATTGACTGCAGCTCATTCACCTCTGTGCCAAACTCCGTCATTTGCAGCTCACCTCTTCTAGAGGGAAACCTGGCGGTTTCCAATCTGCTCAGCATCGCAAAAATGAAAGCCAGAACCCACAGTTTTTCGAAATAGTTGAACTTGCACGCCAAGTTTTACGTGTTTTTTCGACAATTCAGTTTCAATTGAACAGCTGTTATCCCGAGTGAACCATTTACAGTGTGTGTTATATAATCTGTAAATGATAATATGTATAATAGGGCATTTTGCCAATTGCAAACCGGCCAGTTCCGCTCTTCTAGCTCACCTGACCAAATCGACCGTCTCAAGCAGCTGTCTTTCAAGTTTGCTGTTTCGTCATCTTCAAAATGCATTCTTCCAGAAACAAGATGGAGCCCGCAAACCCGAATGCAAAAACAAACTCGAAAACAAGCGCCCAAACAATCTTTTGACACTCTTGTAGGAGACACTCTTGTAGAACGCTCTTGTGGGACACTCTCGCGCGACACTTCCGTCACTCTGTGGGACACTCTTGCAGGACACTGTTGTAGAACACTCTTGTGGGACACTCTTGTGGACTCTTGCGCAACACTCTTGCAGGACTTTCTTGTGGGGACACTCACGACGCTCACGTACTCAGATGTAATTCGGCTACATAAGTTGACAGCTCTGAGGCCACAACTACCAGAAGCTGCTTCCTGCACTACATTTGCACTACAAATCGCAGAAGCTGCTTGCCGCGCTACATTTGTACTACCCAGTGGCCAGTTCTGAGGCCACAGCTCTCAGAAGCGACATTTGCGCAACCAAGTGACAATTCTGAGGGCCCACCTGCCAAACGTTACTACATGTGTACTACAGCTCCCACAACCTGCTTCCGCATTACGCCAGTTCTGAGGCTCCCAGAAGCTAGCTCCCAGGAGCTTCTTCCCACACTACATTTGCGCTGCAAGTTGCCACTTGAAACACTCTTGCAGGACACTCTTGTCGGACACTCTCGTGGGACACTCTTGTAGGACACTCTTGTGAGACACTCTTGCGGGACACTCTTGTGGGAAACTCTTGTGGGACACTCTTGTCGGACATTCTTGTGGGACACTTCTCGCTCTTGGGACACTGTTGCGGAACACTCTTGTGGGGCACACTCTTGCGGGGTACTCTTGTGACACATTCTTGCGAAACACTCCTGTAGGACACTCTTGTGGGACACTCTTACTCTTGTGGGACACTCTTGCGGAACACTTTTGGGGGACACTCTTGCGGACCACTCTTGTAGGACACTCTTGTGGGACACTCTTGTAGGACACTCTTGTGGGGCACTCTTGCCGGACTCTCTTGTGGATCACTCTTGTAGGGACACTCTTGCGGGACTCTCTTGTAGATCACTCTTGTGCGACACTCTTGCGGGACACTCTTGTGGAAAACTCTTGTAGCACACTCTTGCAGGGTACTCTTGTATGGCACTCACTTGCGCGGGACAGTCTTGCGAAACACTCTTGTGGGAAACCCTTGTAGGACACTCATGCGGGACACTCTTGTAGGACACTTTTGTGGGACATCTTGTAGGACACTCTTGTCGGACGCTCTTATGCAACAGTCTTGTGGGACACTCTTGTCCGACACTTTTGTGGAACACTCTTGTGCGGCACTCTTATAAGGCACTCTTGTCCAGGACACTCTTGTATGGCATTCTGGGACGCTCTTGTGAAACACTCTTGTAGGACTTGGATCTATCCAATTACCTATAACAGTGGATGATGATAATTGTTTACTGATTGTTACAGGTATTAGGACTGACCCAATGTATATAGGACACTCTTGTGGGATATTCTTGTGGGGACACTCAGGACACTCTTGTAGGACACTTAGTCGCGAACAAGGCTCTACCCTCAGACCCCCAGAGTTAAACGAGAACCCTTCGCTACGCATTCGGGAAAAACTCAAGAACTCAACTCCAAGCTCCGCCTCCACCGTCGCTTTCGTAACTTTGGTACTGGCGACAAACAAGCTTGTCTTGAGACAGCCAAAAAGAGGTGGTCCTCAACTGCCTGGCGCACCTGGGGGTGAATAGCATCATCCAGGTGCCCCTGCCAAATCGGTAACAAAGCAGCAATAGTCAAATGTCCAACCAGGTGGCTCATCACATCGTCAGGTGGACATTGATTGGTTAGATTAGCTAGATCTTGCAAACATATCTGGCACTGCGCACAATGGATTTTGGTACACCTGTCACACCGGCCAAAGCAAAGAGTGCCTGGATTCCTGGATCTTGTCACTTCCTTCCTTCCCTGGTCACATTGTTTTGCCTCCAACTGCCTCCAACTCCGCCGCTGCGCCTTTAGGCGCTCCAAATCTTGATGGCCTTTATCAAAATTCTCCAGAATCATATCCTGTGCAGTTGTTCAGCTGTTTGTAATCTTCAGATATGTGTTCAATCCCATTCAATCCATCTACTCCACATGCATCCACTACTGAAGAAAATTGCAAAAGAAATGGTGCAAATGATATGTTACATTTATCGTATGATGATCGTGCATAAAATCTATCAACATCCCTCTCTCCTGCAATCTGCCAGTCTCGATCTTACTGGTGATGATTTTGCCTCAGCTCAGCATGCGCTAGCGGCAGGAACTTTGAGCCAGGGCACCTTGGTCTATTTTTGGCATGTTTGGTTGTAGTCTTTTGCACATGTGCAGAAGTTCAAAGGTGCCACACAAGCTGGACGACTTGATCTCCAAAAATGAGACTTCACGGAGGGTGGGTTGCTCGTCGCAAGCCTCATGAAAACCCCATCAGACATGTGCTGGCAAGGCCACACGCATTGTGATAGAACTTGACCTCCCTGTCATCATGGTGATGCTTTCGATTCCGGGCTGCTTGCAAATGCACCAAGTCGAAGTCTCAATGCAAGATTCGACACGAACACCCCCAATGAAAGCAACAGTGTTTGCATCAAACCGCTCTGCTACATTATCAAAATACACTGAAGTTGGTGTGGGGTTTTGTTCCTAAGTGACTCCTCCCATACCAATAACATGCCAGGCACACCTCTGCTGCAGTGCTTGCTCACTGGAATCCACTCGGCCTTGTTTTAAGTAGTGTTGGCAGGTGAGGTCATAAAGCTCCTGGCACCGACAGAGCCGCCAGAAAATATAACTGCATGGCAAAGTCGTAGCTCATTCACTGTACTGTAGGAGCCAGGACAAGCCTCGCCCCCGCCCTCAAACGGGATCTTCCTTGAAGAAGCGTGTGCTATCGTGCGTCCAGTTGCTAGGAGCGAACTAGTAGCTAGTAGCTTACCTCCCTAGTTAAGTAGGCGCCCACTCAATTAAGTAGGGGGCGGGGTCATAAAAAAAGGAGTCTTGTCTCCTCCAGCGCAGAGGGGCTCATATGTCTCAGGCCGTCAACCAATGCTTGGATGCTGCGAACCACTTCATCAGAATCTATGTCTGCCTGGGCCCGTAACAACACATCTGCTTCAGAAACTGCGCAGGTTCTTGGCAGTTTGCTACGTTGAGCCAGTTAGATTTTGCCTATTCAAGCTCTCTACCAGCTTGGCAGTTCAGACCTGCTTTGGGCATTGATCCTCTGGTACTTCAGAGCCTCGGAGGGACTGTCAATCCCGCATGATGTCATGTTGACAGTTGACCGAAGGGAGATGTTTGATGATGTTTGACTATCCCAGAAGGGGTTATTTATCAACAGTCAAGAATGATGGATGGAACAACACGATTGATCAGTGGATCCAAAGGCTCTTGCTCCCAGATGAGGAACAAAATACACAGGCGGCAATGGCATGAGCATATCGTAGTTCGATAGCATGAGCATATTGTCGTCCGACAGCGATACTAGGCTCAGGCTAAACTTCCGTAGACGATGACCGTCGGTGTACCTCAATCCCAAATGCTCTGTTGGTAGAAAAGCATGGTTGTTAACTAGTAAAAGGCCAACAAAAAATGAAAGGTCTAAAGAAAGAAGGAGCAAAAGGAAATCAATAAATTGAGAAAGGAAACATAATGGCATGAAAAAGGAAAACACATGAAAAGTAAAACCATGATCTATCTAAGGAGTCCCCTTCTTCAATCTACGAGCTGGGGTAGTAGTAACATCGGAAGTGTATAAAGTCCAAAACATTAACGCGGTTGAAAACGGTTGTTTTGGTCTTATGCACCCCTTCTCCGCTGAAGTGTTTTCATAGTTTCGTCTTCTGCTTGTCCCTAAGCTCTGCGGCAAAGGCAGCATCAGCTTCGGCAACCTCTCATGTTTTTCCACAGAACAATCACACAATTTCACACGGCCAGTGTTGGAATCAAGTGCGATCCTTCCTATCAGGTGTTTCTCTTTGAAAACCTTTGACAAGAATAGCTTTGCGGTCCGTATTGATATGTCCGTTTTGTATCGCTTGCCAGCCTTGGCCACCGTGCCGAACAAGCAATCAAGCTCGTCTTAGCCAGAACATGATGCATCAATGGGCAGAAAAAAGAAGAACATATATAAATATACAGAATCCAGACGAATCCAGTTTTCTTTTTCTAGCGTCGCTGTGAGGGGTTGCTCACTCGGTCATCACCTTCGATGAAATGTTGACAGCACCACTCAAATAAGGGTTGAAAGGCACGTTGCAGTGATTTTCGTGACTGGTGCGTCATTAAAGGCTCCTACTGTAGAACTTGTTCTTGGGTCGTTCCTTTGTCTCGTCCTCAAATGGATCTGAGCCAAGAGTGCAACAGCACTGGCCAAGTAGAACAAAGCAGTAGGGCCGCTTTCTCGACGTGCTTTCTATCCCTAGAAGCGATGGCCTCCAACCTAAGAGCAATGGCCTCAACCCTAAGAGCGATGGCCTCAAACCTACTATATAGCCATGGCCTCCAACCTACTAGCGATGGCTTCCAACCTACTAGCGACGGCCTCCAACCTAATAGCGATGGACCCATGATACTTCGAGTGTCTTGTTCAGGACGACTGCTCGAAAAGAAAGCAGCTGGGCCCTACATAACCTGCTGAATGCTGGCGAACAAAACAGGAGGTATCAAGATTCTAGGACGCACAGCTGAATAAGAGACGTTCTGTCGGACGCATTTCACCGGGCCAGACTCGATTCAACTTGGTTGAACTCATTGGCTGCCGGTTGTGAGACAAACTTCTCGGCGAGGCCAAGCTCCTCTCGATGTGGAGGCAACAGAGGCAACAATATCGTGTTCCATGCATCCTGGGAACTGGCGAATCATGCAAAACAGACAGGAAGAAAAGATTGCGTTTGGGCCCTTTCAATCATGCCCTTCTTAAAGAGGCCAAAGCATCGTCCTTTTTTCCTCTCCGTTTTGCGTGTTTCGTCTGTGAAACGCCGGTTCACTCCGTCCTGCCCTCTGGAAGCTCAAGCAGTGGACCCATGAGAGGCCTGTGGCCAGCTGCATGTCAGAAGGTGGCAACCTTCTTCCAAAGGTCAAATTGGCTGAACAAGGCTTGTAATGTGCAAGAATGCGGTCTTCAAAGCAAAACTCTTCGTTGCTGTGTTGCGTGGCTTGCCCACGGGCTACCAGTTCCTGCCTCGTCTTGAGACTTTGACTCAAAAGTAACTCAGTATGCAAAAGAATCGGATCACGGACGCTCTGATGTTTGGTGATGGTCGTGAAAATGATGCCGATGAGGAGAATCTCTATATTGGACACCCAGATGTGCACGACCAGTACCAGTGCAGCGAAACATATCAAGGTCTATGATGGTCTATGTTATGACTCTTGTGCCACTTTGATGGTACCCACAACATGACCCAACTGAGCATCCTACGAGGTTTGAAGGTTCTGGCGCCTGCTGGCACAATGTCTGGCCAGCTTGGGTCATTCATGTCCCAGCCACCTTTGCCGCTCGGCAAGATGCACACAGCACATGTCCATTCCAGGTGTTTCGGGTGTTTAGGGAAGATCACTGCTGAAATCAGTTTCAGCTACGTTTGCATTCAACATGAGGCGCTACTACCAGTGGCACTCGGGTCATGCTCTTCAACTTGCTCAAGTATTAGTCGCTTAGCTGTGTCAGCTAAAGTGTGAACCTCGTGGTACTGGCAAGAAGGTCTTGGGGTCAAAGACAAACCTCGCGGCCAGGAATGCACAGTCATGACAAGACAACGATGCTGCTGCAATCTTCCTGGCTGCACACAATGCGCTGTGTATTGTCAAGTTTGTCGTTCAAACAATGGGAAGTGTTCTACATACGGTCCTGACATCAAACAAATAGCCGCCTTTTGTCTGGGATGACCTTCCATGCCATGTCATACCTCATTGCCGGGTCAAAGGACAGGATCAGGATTGCCGGGAGGTAAGGCCTGCTCGAACGTACAAACTATAATCCTGATCTGCACTGATCTGCATGTTAGCTAGATCTTGGTAAGGCTTCATTGTGGGCAGCAGCACATCCAGCATGTGGGTTTTGAGACACGAGCTGCAGCATATGCACTAGTACTTTGGCTGGGGGGGTTCTATGTGTGATGATACAAAGGGCCACTCTTTGAGCGTCGTTGAGGCAAAGACTTTCGCGGTCTGCGGAATTTGTCAGGAGAAGTCTTCACAACCTAGAGGGCTCAGTGCTTGGCTTCTGAGGCAAATGATTCATCACACTTGATGAATGTATATATACATTGTATTCATTCCAAAGTGCACAAGTGATCCGACATAGAGTCCATTCTTGGCATTCGAGGCCCAAGCTTCTCCAGCAAAAAGTACGCTTTGGAGCGAAAGTGACTTGGAACGAAGCGGTGCCTGCCACTTAAACTTAAGGAGTGTGCTTGGGATCGCTCTTACGCAAAACATGCAACCTGAAAAGAAAACATTCTGGACGATCTATCCAAACCCTTGATATTCTGTCTTTGTGAACAAGTGTGAAGCATTAATTCCAACAATCGGTCTGTTCGTTGCTGAGTCTGCATTTCGCACAACCGAACTGCTTTGAACTTATCAAATATCCTTGCTACTCTTCCTTTCAAGCAAATGTTCTTCGTGTCAACCACATGCAAGTCATACAGGTGTGCGGCCAAGAACGTAGCCATTCCTCGCCCCCGGAGCGACCGAATTCGAATTCCGCCTACGGAGTTGAGTGTACTGTAAACTGATGTAATGCAGCGTGGAATCTGAGGGAAGCTCCTCTTCAATAAAGTAGATTGGTTGTCGAAACCAAAAACCTTGCAACCCTCGCAGTTTCACACTTTGCGAGTCTTTACATTCTACCCGTGACCTCCCAAAGAGCTTGGATTCAAAGAGTATGGCTCAGTTCTGAGAGACAATCTCTTCGGGGCCATGCTGAAAAGCAAGCTTGACAAACACGAAAGGCTGGACATTGAACTGGTGGATGTTTGGAGTCCGGTGCAGCACAAATGCCAGAGACTTACAAGTTGCTTGAGCAGAAACTCCGTCCTCTTATATACCTCGCGGCTCGCCTGAAGCAGAATCAAACTCGTTCAAGGTGACGCCATAGGTCTTTTTAACGCTACTAGTAACAAAGGGCATCGCCACTAGGAGCAAGAGGACGCTACTGTTTCAACGCTGACGCCAGGCCTGGGCACAGCTCAGCGCACTCAGCGACATCTCTCGACGGGTGGCCTCACTCGGTGGAGAAAACGGTCTGTGATAACAGAAGGGAAAAGGAGCTGTGGCCTCCAACCTAAAATAAGCCCCCGTTTAAGCAAGCCTCATTACAGAGGGCCTTTACAATTCTTTGTTCCTCTTTGTTCATTCTTGCTGTCTGATCTTTCTGCAGACTGCTTTGCTGATTAACCAGCTTTACGGCAAAACCTCCAGACCCGCCTCAGACAGCTTTGGAGACACTGGAGATGGCCGGAATGATGCATCAGCCCACATCTGGCACTGTTGGCACTAAGTTTCTGGCAAAGCAACCGTGTTGTGAGCTCTTATAAGGACACCACAAGGCCCAGTATGGGTTTCAAATGCAAGCAAAAGAAATTAGTGAAATAGATTATTTATAGTATGTTACAAGGATGGACAAAGAATAGGGTCAAGTCGGATAAAGCAGTCAATACATTGCGACCGAAAGGAAGATCTTAGCGTCAACGATGCACTTTGCCCACTACAAGAATGCCGTCAACCTGAGGTCTTGGTCTTACTGTTAAAGAAAGGCTGTTGGACACGACATAACCAGTAACTATTCTCCAAAAGCCTTCTAAAAAGCAATGTTTCCAAGGGACGGCACCTCAGTGAGCTTCGAAGTGGACGGCACTTGGCGGATGGGCGCTTCAAATGCCCAACTATCGATCCGCCGCTGTCGCATCTGTCAAAGTCGTGTAAAGCCGGCAAGAATGTGTCCAAAGGATTCCAAAGGTCCAAAGGCCATAGAATCCTGCTGTTGCTGTCATTTACAACTCAGAGCTTCATTTTTTGAGGGGACCTTTGGCCAAATGAAGGAAATGTCTGAGATGCGGCTTACACTTGTAGTGGACAGGATGAGGTGCCTCTGCTTGCCAAAGTGCTCCCTGCCGCTGTGTTACCTCATGCGCCCAGTGCCTCAGGTTGCCAAAAGGGTCAGGTTTCAAGAAGTCGCTTAAAATGCGAACACGGTCGACATTGTATTCTGTATTCTAGTATTCAATTCATATTCAAGCAGGTTGTATCGTCATTGCAACTACATCAGGCCAATTTATTACTCTGAGCTACTGCATGAGTTGGGTAAAGCCAAAAAGACTTGCAAGCAGCTCCTTCCGGCCAAACCCGTACTTGGCAGCCAGCTTCTTCTCAAGATCAGGGGGCGCCTCCCAATCAAGGAGTTTAATGGAACCTCTATCCGATCGGGAACTGGCCACCTGAGACGCCTCGCGATCCCATAAATCTTTTGAAAGCGCGGGTGGCCCAAAGACCAAAGAGACTTCTTGCACCTCTTAAGCAAAACAAAAAACAAACACGTCTAGTCACAGAGCCTTAGGAGGTGCCATGGCCTCCTTTGCGGGTGCTGGATACCTAGGATGGGCTTCAGCGAAGGGAAGGTTGCAATTTGTTACAATGAGATCTTAGCCTGCACTTTATCCAGTGAAACATCTTCAGGTGAGTCTCTGGGAAAGGAAAAGCACCACTGAAGGACAGGTGTTTACACCACACATGCTTCGCTGCTTCGTCAAACAAAACCACATGCTTCGCTTCGCTTCTCTTCTTTGCCCGCATGTGTTCGCACGCCTCATCTGCGGGGCCGGCTTCAGGCGAGCTGGTGGCGCGCGACTGACCAAGCGACAAGACTAAAACAGTTTTGCGTCAAATGAAGTCGCAAGGACAATCTTCTTAAACGGCCTCACTGGATGATGACATTCTCCTCTTAAACTCTAGACACCGAGACACCTATTCGTCTAAACGATTCATTTTTAGCATAATATTCGTGATTGTCCCTCAATGGAGAGATCATAGAGAGGCCGGCTCAGGCCACACCTCATAGCTGCTGGATCCCAGGTTTTTCGCTCCACCACGTTCTGCAGTCTTGAAAGCAGAAACAAGCTCTAGCTGGAAGCCCTCAAAGATTCCAAATCTCTTCCAAAGCTACTAGCAATGGCCTCCCACCCAAGAGCGATGGCCTCCAACCCAAGAGCGATAGCCTCCAACCTACGTACTATCGATGGCCTCCAACCTAAGAGCGCT